TGGCGGGCGGGGGGAGCTGGACCCCTCCCCAGCTGGGATTGCCCCCCCCCGCCCCTTTGCCAGGCTCCTTTGCTGGGAAGGGATCTCCTGGTGGTGCCCTTTCCGCCTGGCCAGGGGTGGGGATTGGGGGCACTGGAGGGGGTTGGGGTGTCCTGCAAGGTTTGGGTTGCTGGGCTGGCTTGGATTGGGTGGTTGGGGTGTGTGTGTGTGTCTGGATTGCCCCTTGGATGGGGAGGGTTCTCCTCGTGGTGCCCTTTCCGCCTGCCCAGGGGTGGGAATCGGGGGAGGGGGGGTTCCTGCCAGATCTGCCCATCTCAAGGTTGGGTGGCTTGGATGGCTTCCTCCCCCCCATCACTTGCCAGGCTGACTTGGCTGGGAAGGGATCGCCAGGTGGTGCCCTTTCCACCTACCCGCTGATGGCGAGCGGGTGGTCCTGCCAGATCTGCCCACATCAAGGTTGGGTGGCTGGGTTGGGGCTGGACCCCTCCCCAGCTTGGATGGCTTCCCCCCCCCCACCATCACTTGCCAGGCTGACTTGGCGGGGAAGGGATCGCCTCGTGGTGCCCTTTCCACCGGCCCAGTGAGGGTGATTGGGGAGGGGGGTCCTGCCAGATCTGCCCACCTCAAGGTTGGGTGGCCTGGACCCCTCCCGAGCTTGGATGGCTTCCCCCCCCCCTCCACTTGCCAGGCTGTCTTGGCTGGGAAGGGGATCGCCTGGTGGTGCCCTTTCCACCTGCCCAATGATGGCGATTGCGTGGGTGGGGGACTCCTGCCAGATTTGCCCCTCTCCAGGTTTGGTGGCTGGGCTGGGCTGGCCTGTATGGGTGGGTCTGGACCCCTCCCAAGCTTGGATTGGGCCCTTGGAAGGCTGAATTTGCTGGGAAGGGATCGCCTCGTGGTGCCCTTTCCACCGCCCTAGTGATGGGGATGGGCGGAGGGGGTCCTGCCACATCTGCCCACCTCAAGGTTGGGCGTCCTGGACCCCTCCTGAGCTTGGATGGCTTCCTCCCCCCACTTGCCAGGCTGACTTGGCGGGGAAGGGATCACCTGGTGGTGCCCTTTCCACCTGCCCAGGGATGGTGATGGGGGGCGGTGGGTGGGGGTGTCTGAAGGTTTGGTTGCTGGGCCGGCCTGGATTGGGTGGTTGGGGTGTGTGTGTGTGTGTGTGTTTGGATTGCCCCCTTGCTGGGGAGGGATCACCTCGTGGTGCCCTTTCCGCCTGCCCACTGATGGCGAGCGGGTGGTCCTGCCAGATCTGCCCACTTCAGGGTTGGGTGGCTGGGTTGGGGCTGGACCCCTCTCCAGCTTAAATTGCTCCCCCCCCCCTTTCCGAGACTGACTTGGCTGGGAAGGGATCTCCTGGTGGTGCCCTTTCCGCCTGCCCAGGGGTGGTGATTGGGGAGGGGGGGTGTCCTGCCAGATCTTCCCACCTCAAATGTTTGGTTACTGGGCTGGCCAGGTTTGGGAGCCTGGACCCCTCCCAAGGTTGAACTGGCCCCCTTGCCAGGCTGACTTTGCTTGGGAAGGGATCGCCTCATGGTGCCCTTTCCGCCTGCCCCAGGGGTGGGGATTGGGGGCATTGGAGAGGGTTGGGCTGTCCTGCCAGTTTTGTCCATCTCCAGGTTTGGGTTGCTGGGCTGGCCTGGATTGGGTGGTTGGGTGGGTGGGTGTGTGTCTGGATTGCCCCTTGGATGGGAAGGGATCGCCTCGTGGTGCCCTTTCCACCGGCCCAGTGCTGGGGATGGGCGGAGGGGGTCCTGCCACATCTGCCCACCTCAAGGTTGGGCGTCCTGGACCCCCTCCCGAGCTTGGATGGCTTCCTCCCCCCACTTGCCAGGCTGACTTGGCGGGGAAGGGATCTCCTGGTGGTGCCCTTTCCACCTGCCCAGGGATGGTGATGGGGGGCAGTGGGCGGGGGTGTCTCAAGGTTTGGTTGCTGGGCCGGCCTGGATTGGGTGGTTGGGGTGTGTGTGTGTGTGTGTGTGTGTTTGGATTTCCCCCTTGCTGGGGAGGGATCGCCTCGTGGTGCCCTTTCCACCTGCCCACTGATGGCGAGAGGGTGGTCCTGCCAGATCTGCCCACTTCAGGGTTGGGTGGCTGGGTTCGGCCTGGACCCCTCCCCAGCTTGGATGGCTCCCCCCCTCCACTTGCCAGGCTGTCTTGGCTGGGAAGGGGATCGCCTCGTGGTGCCCTTTCCACCTGTCCAGGGATAGTGATTGGGGGCGGTGGGGGGTGGGTGGGTATCCTGCACGTTTTTTGCCCATCTCAAGGTTTGTTTGCTGGCCCAGTCTGGATTGGATTGGATGGGGTGGGGTGGATGGTGCGTGTGTGTGTGTGTGTGTGTGTCTGGATTGCCCCCTTGCTTGGAAGGGATCTCCTCGTGGTGCCCTTTCCACCTGCCCAGGGTTGGTGATGGGCGGAGGGGGTTCCTGCCAGATCTGCCCACTTCAAGGTTGGGTGGCTGGGTTGGGTCTGGACCGCTCCCGAGCTTGGATGACTCCCCCCCCCGCTTGCCAGGCTGACTTTGCAGGGAAGGGATCGCCTGGTGGTGCCCTTTCCACCTGCCCAGGGATGGGGATGGGCGGAGAGGGTCCTGCCAGATCTGCCCACTTCAAAGTTGGGTGGCTGGGTTGGGTCTGGACCCTTCCTAAGCTTAGATGGCTCCCCCACCCTTGCGAGGTTGACTTTGCCGGGAAGGGATCACCTCGTGGTGCCCTTTCCACCTGCCCAATGGTGATGATTGGGGGAGGGGGGTGGAGGAGGTTCTTGCAAGATTTGCCCGCCTCAAGGTTTGGTTGCTGGACTGGCCTGGATTGGGGGGGGGGGGCGGAAATCTGGACTTGCCTCCTTCCTGTGACGGGATCTCCTCGTGGTTCCCTTTCCATCTGCCCAGTGGTGAGGATGGAGGGGGCGATGGGGGGGGGGAAAGGTCCTGCCAGATCTACCCACTCAAGGTTTTGGCAGCGGCCAGGCTGGGCCGGGCCGGCCTGGGCTGTTTCTGGAGCCCGCCAAAGCTTCGGTTCGCCTCCTTGAAAGCTCATTGGCTGGGAAGGGATCTCCTCGTGGCGCCCTTTCCAGCTGCCCACTGATGGCGAGAGGGTGGTCCTGCCAGATCTGCCCACCTCAAGGTCGGGCGGCTGGGTTGGGTCTGGACGCCTCCCGAGCTTAGATGGCTCCCCTCCCACACTCGCCAGGCTGACTTGGCTGGGAAGGGATCGCCTCGTGGTGCCCTTTCCACCTGCCCAATGATGGCGATTGCGTGGGTGGGGGATTCCTGCAAGATTTGCCCCTCTCCAGGTTTGGTGGCTGGGCTGGCCTGTATTGGTGGGTCTGGACCCCTCCCAAGCTTGGATTGGGCCCTTGGAAGGCTGAATTTGCTGGGAAGGGATCTCCTCGTGGTGCTCTTTCCACCTGCCCACCGATGGGGATGGGCGAAGGGGGTCCTGCAAGATTTGCCCACCTCAAATTTGGGTGGCCGGGCTGGTCTGGGCTGGCCTGTGGGGGTCTGGCGCTTGGATTGCCCCCTTGCCAGGCTCAGCTGCTTGGCCGGGATCTCCTGGTGGTGCCCTTTCCACCTGCCCAGGGATGGGGATGGGCGGAGGGGGTCCTGCCAGATCTGCCCACTTCGAGGTTGTGTGGCTGGGTTGGGTCTGGACCCCTCCTAAGCTTAGATGCCCCCCCACCCTTGCGAGGTTGACTTTGCCGGGAAGGGATCACCTCGTGGTGCCCTTTCCGCCTGCCCGGTAAGGTTCCCTTTCCAACCTGCCCAGTGGTAGTGATGGGAGGGGATGCCGGGGTTTTCCCACCTCCCGGGTTGGATCTGGGGGGTCGGGACCCCTCCCGAGCGTGGAGTGGCCCCTTGCGAGGCTGACTTTCCTGGGAAGGGATCTCCTCGGGGTGCCCTTTCCGCCGTCCCAACGGTGGGGATGGGGGCGCCCTGCAAGGTACGCCCACCTCTAGCTGGTTGGGATCTGGGTTGGCTGGCTGGGCTGGGTAGGAGATGGGCTCTTGGGGCCCCCCCCCGGAAGATTGCCCCGACGACTTCTGGGGGAGGAATTTGAACCCGGTGCTGGAGGAGGCTAAATAGGAGAGGATGGATGGAGGGTGCTTGAAAAGTTGTGCGTTGGCTGGGAAAATGTAGCTTTTGCGTCCCTTGCAGTAGAGAGGCTGTTGGGTGGAACGATCAGAAGCAGGGAGATGGGAGTTCTAGTTCTGCCTTGGCATGGAAAAGTAGCTGGGTGACTTTGGGCCAATCACCGGGCGACGGTGAGTTCTAGTCCCGCCTTAAGGCATGAAAGCCAGCTGGGTAACTTTGGGCCAATCACTGGGTGACGGTGAGTTCTAGTCCCGCCTTAAGGTACGAAAGCCAGCTGGGTGACTTTGGGCCAATCGCCGGGCGACGGTGAGCTCTAGTCCCGCCTTAAGGCACGAAAGACAGCTGGGCGACTTTGGGCCAATCACCAGGCGACGGTGAGTTCTAGTCCCGCCTTAGGCATGAAAGCCAGCTGGGTGACTTTGGGCCAATCACCAGGTGATGAGTTCTAGTCCCGCCTTTAGGCATGAAAGCCAGCTGGGTGACTTTGGGCCAATCACTGGGTGACAATGAGTTCTAGTCCTGCCTTAGGCATGAAAATTAGCTGAATGACTTTGGGCCAATCACTGGGCGACGGTGAGTTCTAGTCCCGCCTTAGGGCACGAAAAGCCAGCTGGGCGACTTTGGGCCAATCGCCGGGCGACGGTGAGTTCTAGTCCCGCCTTAGGGCACGAAAAGCCCACTGGGTGACATTGGGGCCAATGGCCGGGCGACAGCGAGTTCTAGTCCTGTCCAAGGTTGTGCGTTCCGGGGAAAATTAGCAGACCTTCGGGATCTTCGACCCTCCCTTTTCAGTTACGGGCTCGGAAAAGTCACGCAACGAACGGTCGTTACGCCGAGGACTGCGTGACCCGTTGCTCTGTGTGTGTGTGTGTGTCTCCCTTGACAGCAGGGCCTTCCGTGGGACATGGACCTCCACCCCCCGGCTCCCGCGCCGCCCCTCGGCCTCCCCGAGCGAAACCCCGCGGGGGACGTCCTGCCCGAGGCGGCGGAGCTCTCCCTGACCGTGGACGTCTACGCGGCGCAGCTTGTCTGCCTGGAAGGCCGGGTGGGCCTGGCCGAGGCCAAGCTGGACGGCTGCGAGAAGACGGCCGTCGAGTTCGGCAACCAGCTGGAGAGCAAGTGGGCGGCGCTGGGCACCCTGATCCAGGAGTACGGGCAGCTGCAGCGGCGGCTGGAGAACATGGAGAACCTGCTGCAGAACCGCAACTTCTGGATCCTGCGCTTCCCGCCGGGCGCCAAGGGGGAGACGCCGAAGGTGAGAGGAGGCGGGGAATCAACCGGCCGGGCTAGGTGGTGCGTTTGCCGTTGAGGAGTTTAGTTGTGTGAAGGAAGGCAACACGGGTGTTTCGTAGAGCGGCGTTGGCAGATTGAAGAAGGGCGGGCTTCGACTCCCAGAATTCCCAAACCAGAAAGCTTTAAGAGGCTGGACTTCATCTCCCAGAATCCCCCAGCCAGCATTCTTTACGAGGGGTGGGCTTCCACTCCCAGAATTTCCCAGCTGCCATGCTTTAAGAGGAGAGGACTTCAATTCCCAGAATTCCTCAGCCAGCATGTTTTAAGAAGGGTGGATTTCCATTTCCAGAATTTCCCAGCCGCCATGCTTTAAGAGGGGTGGATTTCCATTCCCAGAATTCCTCAGCCAGCATGTTTTAAGAAGGGTGGATTTCCATTCCCAGAATTCCTCAGCCAGCATGTTTTAAGAAGGGTGGATTTCCATTCCCAGAATTCCCCAGGCAGCATGTTTTAAGAAGGGAGGACTTCAACTCCCAGAATTCCCTAGCCGCCATGCTTTAAGAGGGGAGGATTTCAACTCCCAGAATTCCCCAGCCACCATTTTTTAAGAGGGGGAGGACTTCAACTCCCAGAATCCCCCAGTCGGCTTATATTTAATTGATTGTCCACTAGGTCCCTCTCGCGGTTGCTACTGTTGAGGCAGATTTCACCTATTGTTTACCAGTAAATTCCGGTTTTCTTCTTTTAAGTGCAAAACACTTTTATGTACGTCGAATTTCATGTTGTTAGATAGGGCTCCGGGTTCAAGTCTCTCCAGATCCTTCTGGGTGCTAAGCCTAACTTCTGGAGGGTTGGATGTTCCTGCCAGCGTGGAATCGTCTGCAAATTTGACGAGTTCCCCTTTTATCCTCTCATCTAAATCAAGGGTCCCCAACTGGTGGGCTGCAGCTCTCCAATAGGCTGTGAGGAGTTTGCACCCGGGCCGCAGAAGCGGCCAGCGAGCGTGCGCGCACGCACGCACGCCTCCTCACTTTGGCGTACAGCGTGTGAGCAGCGCGCAGTCCATTTAAGTGCAAGGCAGGTGCGTGTGCACGCCGCTGGTGCAAATGAACTGCGTGCACGTACATGCACGCCGCTTCTATAAATGAGGTACATGCACGCGCATGCACGCCGCTTGTGCAAAAGAGCTATGTGCACGTACATGCACACCGTTTGTATAAATGAGCTGTGTGCGTGCACATACACGCCGCTGGTGCAAACAAGCTATGTGCACGTACATGCACACTGCTTGTATAAATGAGCTGTGTGCGCGCATGCAAGCCGCTGGTGCAAACGAGCTGTGCACATGTACATGCACACCACTTGTATCAATGAGCTGCGTGCGCGCTCATGCACGCCGCTGGTGTAAACGAGCTGGGCGCACGTACGTGCACACCGCTCGTATAAATGAGCTGCGTGCGTATGCATGCCACTGGTGCAAACGAGCTGCGCGCACGTACATGCACACCGCTCGTATCAATGAGCTGCGTGCGCGCGCATGCACGCCGCTGGTGCAAATGAGCTGCGCGCACGTACATGCACACCGCTTGTATAAATGAGCTGTGTGCGCACACATACCGTTGGTACCATCCCCTCTCCTTCCGCCACGCCGGTCCACAAAACTGGAAACGTTGTGGTCTACATTGTTTATGACCCCGAGTTGTCGCCCCGTTGTAGGTCCCGTTGCAGTTTGACGACGCCTCCTGCAGTTTCTCGGAGCAAGAGTGGAGGGGCCTGGATGAAAGCCAGAAGGATCTGTATCGTCACATCATGAAGCACAACTACCAGGCGGTGGTCTCCGTTGGTAAGAGCGGGCTGGTGTCAGGACTGGGCCGGCGTCGGTCAGCCGCGGGACTCCCGGAGAGAAACCGGGCAGGCGATTCAATGCAGCTTGGTGGTTTTGTGGTTCTGTCGTCACATCGCCGGACGGTTGTGTGGCTTCACCCCGAGAGAGGCAACGGGTGTCCCGGCTGCTCCAGGGTGGGAAGGGTCCACCTTCGGGCGCCATAGATCACCATCCTCATTCTGACGTCTTCCGAACCCCAAGCGAGTTTTCCGGTATACAGATAACAATCACAATTGTCCCCAAATTTTTTGTGGCTAAACGAGACCATTGTGAGGTGAATTTTCTCCCGTTTCATGACCTGTCTTACCACGGTGATTAAGCGAACCGCTTAAGTTACTAATAGGGAATCCTCATCGACTTTGTTTCTCGTCGCAAAAAAGGGGGAAATCACGTGAGCCCGGGACACTGTTACCGTCATAAATACGAGTCCGTTGCCGACGAGAAACAAACCTTTTGCAACGAGAAACCAAGTCAACGGCCGAGCGTGCTTGTTTTTTTGATCACGTGACCCTGGGGATGCTGTAACCGGTCAGATGTGTGCGAAAGGTCGTTACGTCCCTTCAGCGACGTCGTAACGTGGAACAGTCACTAAACGAGCGCTTGTAAGTCGACGACTACCCGTACTTTGATGCTGTCTCTTCCTCCGCAGACGCGGCCCTCTCCAAACCAGATCTCCTCTCCCGGATTGAGCAAGGAGAAGCTTCGGAGCAGGCCGACGGCAGGGAAGAGGAACGCCATGAAGAGTCCGGCTTGGGGGACAGGCCAGGTGAGTTGTTTGGCCGTTTCCCCTCCGGTCTTCCCCTCCCTCCTGTTTTGTGGGTTCAAGAAGATGTGACATTTTTTTTCAAGTGCTTCAAAACTTATTTCTTGTTGAGGGCTGGAATTTGGCAACCGTATCTTGTCAATTTCCAACTTCATTCTAAGCTCTTAGCGTAGTTTTTCCAACTTCCCTGGATGGGGGGTGGGTTTAGGATGTTGTGTGAATGAAGCCGACGTGGGAATTTAATTGGGTTTGTCTTGAGCGGTGTTGGCGAACCTTGACAAATTTAAGAAGGGTGGACTTCAACTCCCAGAATTCCCTAGCCGGCATGCTTTAAGAGGGGAAGACGTCAACTCCCAGAATCCCCCAGCTGGCATGCTCTAATAGGAGTGGACTTCAATTCCCAGAATTCCCCAGCCAGTATGCTTTAAGAGGGGTGGACTTCAATTCCCAGAATCCCCCAGCCAGCCATATTTTAAGAGAGGTGGACTTCGACTCCCAGAATCCCCCAGCCGGCATGCTTTAAGAGGGGGAGACGTCAACTCCCAGAATCCCCCAGCTGGCATGCCTAAGAGGGTGGACTTCAACTCCCAGAATTCCCCAGTCAGCCATGCTTTAAGAGGGGAGGACTTCAACTCCCAGAATCCCCAGCCGGCATGCTTTAAGAGGGGAGGACTTCAACTCCCAGAATCCCCAGCCGGCATGCTTTAAGAGGGGAGGACTTCAACTCCCAGAATTCCTCAGTCTGCATTCTTTAAAAGAGGTGGACTTCAACTCCCAGAATTCCCCCGCTGGCATGAAGTCCACGCAACTGAAAGCATGCCGATTAGGGATTTCTGGGAGTTGAAGTCCACCCACTTTGCAGTCACCGCATTTGAAGAACACTGATTTGGCTAGCGCAACGCAGAGAAGGGAGAAATGGCAGAAAAAGCGTTTCTCCCCGTTGGAATGTGGGATCCGGTGGTAACGATCCTCGTTTTTCTCTCCCGTGCCACAGGATCCCAGGTTTCGGCTCTCCACGGGACTTCCTGGACCGACCAAGATGATCTGTCTCTCGTCAAAAGCACGGGGGGCGTAGAGGCCAGAGAAATCCCCGGGGACTGCGCCATGGGTAAGAGAGTAGACGGGACACCAGGGAAGGCGGGAGGGGCAGGGGACCCGTTAAGGGTTTGGGAAACCTGTCGGTAATGTTCCCGGGGAAGGGTAGTGTCCTCGGGAATCTGGAACGCCGGATCGGCCCCAGCTTCTCTTTTTCCCCCCGTCATTCGACGGGGTGCGTCGCTTGTGATGCCACAGCGACATTGACAGAGGACGGTGAGACGCCTCAAGGGGGTTCGTCCGGGATATCGCAGGCGGCGCTACGTTCTCTTGCGTGTCAGTCCTGCCTCAACTGGATCCTTTAAGCAAGAACGATCCTTGACTCCGTACCTTGAGAAGAGGATCGTGTTCTAAAGGTCAAGCGGATTACCGTAAAGCAAAGCCGGAACCGAGGTTCGCCCGCCAAATCCCGAGGTGTAACTTTCCCCTCTCAGACACTTCCCGTGGTTGGTTTCCCTTCCGTTGTCCAATCAGTTTTAAAAGAGACAGTTTTAGAACCTGTAGGCCAGGGGTGTCGAACTCGCAACGTCACGTGACGTATCGCGACGTATCACGATGTGTTGCGACGTATCGCGACGTGTCACGACATATCGCGACTTTTTCTCCACGACGCATCCGGCCCGCGGGCCGGCAAGTTTTAACACCCCCGGTGTAGGCTGTTTTGCGGCTGCATTCGTGTCCCGAGAAAAACGGCCTTGAGGACTAGCCACCCTCCCCCCTCCCCCCCCAGGCTCCATGGTAGACTAATGGAACGATTGTCAAGTGGAAGTTCGGACAATGAGTTTCGTGAGTAGTGAGAGGAGGGATTCGGACTCGTTTGATGTGATTTGTCCCTTCTGGGAAAACATATGGGTGAAGGGCACACCAAGGGGTCAGGAAGGAAGGACCCCAATTTGGAGTCGGAGGGCCCCCGGCCCAGGCATCCCCAACCTCTACTAGCAGGCCGTGAGGTGTTTGCAACTGGGCCGCGGAAACGGCAGGCAAGTAAACGTGCACGTACATCCTGACTCGCGCGAGCAGCAGGGGAGCGCGTGCACGCACACTCCATTGGCGCGCGGGGTAGGCGCCCGTGTACAGTGTGCGCGCAAATGGAGGTGTCTGTGCATTCGCGCAGTTGCCCGTCACTCGGATGGAACCTGCTGCCGGGAACTCTGCCGTGGCCGATTTCTCGGCTCGTATGACGAGGGTCCGAGCAGGAGACGGCAGCGTGGGATGTGCAGAACAAAGGAGAGTAGGGTTTACCTCTACGGACCGGCCTGCTGGGTGTGTCCTTCCTCGGTTACCTGTGGTCTTTTCTTTCTCCAGGTGCCCCTCAGTTGCTGGAGGATGAGGTGGACAGCCTGTTCCCCCGCAAGTGGACGGAAGTTTTCCAGGGGCCCGGTGAGGAGCTGCTGTGCGAGAGCCAGTCTCTGTCCATCACCCTGCCGAAAAAGCCCCTCCGGCGGTCGGGCCAGGGGGTGCCCGAGACACAAAAAGAGGACTCGGCCGCTTCAGCTGCAGAAGCTCACACCGGCCCTTTCATCTGCTGCGAATGCGGAGAAGGATTTGTAGACCGGCAGCTCTTCGCCGGCCACCAGGAGACCCACGGTGGACGCGGGGCGTACCTGGTGCCAGAACCTCAAGGAAGCCCAGAGGCTAAGCTCCTCCCCTTCGCCATCCAGAGGGCCCCAACTCCAGCCCGTCCCAAAGCGCACAAGCGCCCCGAGCCACAGAAGAGCCCAACCGCGAAACCCGGCGTGGTGAAACGGCCCGGAAACCACATGGTGGAGCGTCCATACACATGCACCCAGTGCAAGGAGAGCTTCAAGCTGGAGGTCAGCCTCCTCCTCCATCAGAAGCTCCACGCGGGGAAAGGCGACGGGCCGCTGACCTGCACCTACTGCGGCAAGGACTTCCGGGACCTCTCCAAAGCCGTGCGACACCAGCGGATCCACACGGGCGAGCGGCCGTATCAGTGTACGGAGTGCGGGAAAAGCTTCATCCGGCGGGACCACCTGCTGAAACACTGGCGCGTCCACACGGGCGAGACGCCCTACCAGTGCGCCACCTGCGGGAAGAACTTCCGCTACAAGGAGTCGCTGAACTGCCACCAGAAAATCCACACCCGCACCCCCACCGTGCGCCACTTGGTGCTGGGAACACAGGCGGGGCTGATGGGCCTGAAGCCTGAGCAGCCGTAGCGGTGCTTGCACCCAGCTGAAAGGGACGTGCCAACCTTTGGGGAGGGCCCCACCGGGGCGGTGGTGGGGAAATGAATACTTGGGGGGGGACAGGAGCATTAATTGCCTCCTCCGTCCTGCATTGGGCACACCTGTTGGATGCCGACACATCAGCAGTGTCCTGCTCCCGTACGAGGAGCTCCAGCGTTTGTTGCACTTGTGTGGGCCGCAAAAGTCTTGTAGCCCGCCCACCCTGCACCTCCTTGCATGCCTAGTAGGGAGAGTGAAGACAGGGCCAGCAAATACCCCCTGTTGCTCTCTCCAGCCCCCCCCCAATTCCACTCATTTCTTTGCCACGTCCATTCGCCGTACGAGTCCTCCTTGCGGCGTGTACTCTACACACAGGTATCGACGTACTCCTGATTGCACCGCACGCTGAAGAAGTTGGCAAGACGGCGGTGGACCGTGGCGAGGAGCAAATGGATCTCGGGGTCCTTCAATCCCGCTCGCTCAGGATGGGGGTCCCAGTCCTCCCACACCTCGGTGGAACTGGAAACACCCACCTGCGCCCGTTTCCCAGGTCCTTGTTCTTAGTCGGCGTGTCTGTCCTCCTCCTCCGTTTTAATTCCGAAACCGTATTTGGTTCTTTGCCGAGGGTGCGTGTCCGAGCGAGAACGACTTCGGCCAGTGGTCCTGACGCCTCCGCTCGGACGCCCAGCTCTTGCGTCGTGTGGTTTCACAGTTTGGTGTCCCCAGCAGGATTTGTGTTGCCTGGCTCCCCGGTTCGTGCACCGAGATCTGCCCTCCATCGTTGTGGTGGTGTCGGTTATTTTTTCTTTCTTTCTTTCTTTCAAGGTACCTTTTGTAAATATCGGTTGAGTTAGCTATGGATTGCCATGTTGTTGAACTCTGTGTCGGCCGAGGTGACTGTGAGAAGCCAGCTTTTCTTCTGTGTGACGTCCGGTGTTTGGTCTGTGGCTGCCGGTGATTGTTGGTTTTTGTATCACTTTCTTTGGCAAAACATGTCAGTTCAGTGTGTCTCCCCTGATGTCTTTCTCATTCTGTGGGTTTGGGGTAGGGTCGTTTGACCGCTCCTGAGCGTGGAGAGAGAGAGAGAGCAGGTCTCAGACCAGCTATCCTGACGCTTCCCATCCTATACAAGCAGTCCTCAATTTACGACCGATCACTTAGTGACCGTTTGAAGTTCCGCCGGACCTATCCGGGGCTTACAGTTCATTTAGTGACCGTTCAAAAAAGTGACGTACGACTGTTTCACCCTGATGACCCTTACAGCCTCTTCGAGGTCACGTCATCAAAATTGGCAACTTAGCAACGGACTCGTACTTATGACGGTGCCAGATTCATTTAACGACCGTCTCAGCGGGTGACTTGTAACCTGTATTCAAAGTTTCCATGGTAACCTTCCCCCCCCGCCCCCGGGTGATCACACGACCAAATTTGGGATATTGAGCACCCGAGTTGTGTCTATGATCATTTTCCAACTGTCACGCGACCTCTTTTTAACGATGGTTTTCCGAAAAAAACCCTTGGATTTTTCACTTAATGACGGTTTTTTAACGATCGTCGATTAACGATCCCAGCCGTCACGTTAACGACCACCTCCAAAAAAAAAAAAAGATCTCAAAATTGGCCCAGCTGTCACCTTAACGACCTACTTTTACAAACATCAGGAGTTACACCGCCACGACGGGCCACTTCCGTGCCCGTCGTAACGCGAGGTACGTTCTCTTTCTCGGGTGAAAACGGCAGACGGAATCCACTCCCGAACGCGGCTTCTTAAAATTCCGGTGGTTTGGACCGCAGTCACGCCCCCCCCCAGGTGGGAAAGCAAGACCACCACCCCCCAAAGGCATCTGGGTTGGGTTAACCGTGGTTTCTGCCGGATCCGCGTTCAAATCCAGGCACCACGGACTTCGGGGCGTATTGACACACAACACAAGAGTCTGAATTCCTGGCCTGGAGAATCCTACCCAGATGGGTCCTTTTGGGAAGAAAATGGAGTTTTCCCGGAGTTGAACCATCCTACCAAGCAGGTAAGCGAACATCCGGTGGCTGCAAATATTAGGGATTCTTCTTCAATCGAGAAGATCAGGTAGGATTAGAATCCGGGTCCTCGTGAGCGTTTGGTGACCCTCCTGTGCGTCCATATTAACATGGCAGGCAAGGATTAGCAGAGTGTGTGTGTCAACCAGGGCAACTGAGACGGGTGGACTTCAAGTCCCAGAATTCCCCAGCCAACATGGCTGGCTGGGGGATTCTGGGAGTGGAAGTCCTCTCCTGTTCAAGCATGCCGCCTGGGGGATTCTGGGAGTGGAAGTCCATCCCTCTTGCAGGCTGGGGAATTCTGGGAATTGAAGTCGTCCTGTCTTAAAGCATGACTGGCTGGGGGATTCTGGGAAGTCCAACCCACTTTAAGCATCATTCCAAGGGAATTCTGGGAACTGAAGTCTACCCTTCTTAAAAGGATACCAACTGGGGGATTCTGGGAGTGGAAATCTATCCCTCTTGAAGCATGGCTGGCTGGGGGATTCTGGGACTTGAAGTCCAGCCCTCTTCAAGCATGCCGGCTGGGGGATTCTGGGAGCCGAAGTCCACCCCTCTTAAAGGATGCCGGCTAGGGGATTCTGGGAGTCGAAGTCCATCCCTCTTCAAGCATGCTGGCTGGGGGATTCTGGGAGTGGAAGACCACCCTTAAAGCATGCTGGCTGAGGGATTCTGGGACTTGAAGTCCACCGCTCTTAAAGCATGCTGACTGGGGGATTCTGGGACTTGAAGTCCTCTCCTGTTCAAGCATGCCTCCTGGAGAATTCTGGGACTTTTTCAAGTTGCCCAGATTGACAAATGCTAGATTAGCTCTTGATTCCAATTTTCCCCTCGGATTCACTAAATCTTGGGGTCCTAGGCCATGGATATCTATCGCCTTCTCCCCATTTACGGCCAGATGTGAGACACGGCTAAGCCGTGTCAGTGCACTAGTCCTCAACGTGTGACTTCACGTAGCTATCATTCAAACTTACAACAAACACACAACACACCCAAAATGTACTTGTATTCCAGTTCTGAAGTTCTCACTGCCACCGATTTGGGGAACTTGGTAACCGTTCTGCATTGATACGTCTCAACCTACGACGGTATTTTTAGTGACCGCTGAAAGTTTACAACAGCGCTGAAAAAAGTCACCCCACGATTTTTCACATGTGCGACCCCGACCGCCTTCTTCCCAGGGTCACGTGATCAGGATTCACACAACCGACCGGGTCACCGACTCCTCTTTCCGACGGTTGCCGTCTGCCACGCTCACGTCATCCCGCGACCTCCGGGACACCGCGATCGTCGCAAATGCGGGTCACGTAACGGCGGGGGGATGCCGCGGCCGTCGTCAAGCGTGGAAAACGGGTCCCTTTTGTGGCCTTCCGACAAGCCAAGGGGGAGGGGGAAAGCCGGATTCGCTTAACGACCGCGGGACGGACTTCAGAAAGGCAGAGATTCGCTTAACGACGGCGGGAAGCAACGTCGTCAAACGGGGCGAAACTCACTCCACAAACACTTCAGTCGGCAACCGAAATTTTGGGGTCGTAACTAGGGGACTAGGTGTATTCCAGGCAGGGGTTCAAACCTGCCCTCAGTCCCCCCCCCACATAATCCCCACAATTCCCCACGTGCCCCCCCCCCCATTCAATTTCTCCTGGCTACCATCCGAACATCCTTTTGTCAGTTTGGGCAAATCCAAAGCATTCTGGGAAAAGGGGGTCGAAGCCCCCTACCCACCCAAGTCCGCTACATTTGGGGGGAGGGAAACCAAAGCAGCCTGGCGTGGCCCTAGGGTCCCCGGGGCTCCCCGGCTGGCCCGCTAAGGGTCCTGGGTTCGAAGTAAGGTCGTGGGAACGCATCTCCGAAAGAGGCTTTTTGCGAGGATGTGCAAATTCGCAGACGGTCCTCGGCCGAGCAGGAATGCCGGTGGGTTCGAGTTCAAGGGCCCTCCGGAGATCATCTAGTCCAGCCCCTTCGGGGGGGGGAGTTACTTCCCAGACCTCCCCTTCATCAGTGCTAGAAGGAAGGAAGGAAGGAAGGAAGGAAAGGAAGGACGAAGGAAGGAAGGAAGGAAGGAAGGAAAGGAAGGAAGGAAGGAAGGAAAGGAAGGAAGGAAAGGAAGGAAGGAAGGAAGGAAGGAAGGAAGGAAGGAAGGAAGGAAGGAAGGAAGGAAGGAAGGATGGATTGATTGTGGGGTCCTTGGTGCTCTCTGAGCTGGGTGGTTTTCTTGTGGACGTTTCACGACCCAACTAGGGAACGTCATCAGTGCTGGAAGGGAGAGGGATTTGAAGAGAGGGGGAGGAGGAGGAGGAGGAGGAGGAGGAAGAAAAGGCGAACAGAAGGGAGGAGGGGAGAGGAGGAGGAAGAGGAGAGGAGGAAGAAAAGGGGAGGAGGAAGGGGTGGAGGAGGAAAAAGGGAGGAACAGGAGAGGGAGGAGGAGGAAGAGGGGAGGGGGAGGAAGAGGGGAGGGGGAGGA